CTTGCTCTCCCCTCCGCTCCTTCACCAGCAGCAGTGTTAACATGTATTAGTTCACACAAACACTCCATCCATGCTTTTGTTCCGGCCCTCCGGTCCAGTTGAAGAACCCATTGTGGCCCTCGAGTCAAAAAGTTTGCCCACCCCTGGTCCAAAGTGAGGTTTCATTCTCCGGTTACTGGTGCTTCCTGTGTAGGCCCAGGTTCATTGGGTGCTGTCCTGTGTCCCGGGATGGTCTAGCTTGGCCCCTTCAGTGTGGCTCTTCCACAAAATACCACGTGTGGGCGCATGGACAGTGCGATTGAAACTTTGTGGCACATGCGCAGAAGCAGGTATTTTGTGGAAGAGCCACACTCAAGGGGCCAAAGAGCCGCATGTGGCTCGCGAGCCGCGGTTTGCCGGCCACTGGTCTAGCCGCCTCTCTTTTTAACTTCGTGTCAAAAAGAAGGTGAAGGAGGCCTTGAGAATATAGGCCTGAAACTTTGGTTTTTACGATGAGAGGAGGCAGAAGGAACACACGGGGGAATCGTATTAAGGATTTGGGGGAAATGGGGTGACGGTGACGCGGTGCCCTGCTCCCAGGTGTGAGTTCTGCCGCCGTCGCTGCTTCTGGGACTGGAGGGAGCCGTCTTTCCCGCCCTGGAAGCTTCTGGGGGGGACAGGCAAGGGGAGTGCCTTCCCCCGAGTCTCCCAGGAGCGCTGGGTATCGCTTCCTGCCCTGTTGTCAGAGCCTCCTCCGCTGGGGATGCTCCTGCCAGAAGCTGAATGGAGTTGCCTTCAGCGCCGATAAGCTGTCTCCCCGTGTGTGTGCGGAAATAGTGCAGATGCCCAGGCTGGGTGGCTCAGTGGTTGAGCATCGACCTCTGAACCAGGGCGTCACAGTTCGATTCTTGGTCAGGGCACACGCCCTGGTCGCGGGCTCGATCCCCAGTGTGGGGACGAGCAGGGGGCAGCGATCCATGATTCTCTCTCATCGTTGATGTTTCTCTCTCTCCCTCTCCCTTCCTCTCTGAAATCAATAAACATAGATATTTATAAAAGAAAATAAAGTGAAATGCGGAATGTGAAAACGCCAAAAGGGGCGTTTCTGCTGGAGGTGGATATTTCCTACCCAATCCTCTATCTCAGTTTTTTCTCCGTTCCCGCTCTCTCCTCATAAAAGAGCCGTCTTGTGCTGTGAGAATTCTGTGGCACTCAGTTCAGTGGCCGTCAGTGTGGCTGGATTGCACCCAGCAGCCGTGCTCTGTTCGCTGTTATCTGTCGCTGCCTCTGCACGACCGTTGACCTGAGCAGGTAGGAAGTGGCTGCACTGGTCGCCCTGACGGTGCAGTCGGTGCTCTGCCCTGTCCCCGTGCCTCGCTGCCCCGCTGCCCCGCGTGGCCCCTGGGTCTGCAGCAGTTCCACAGCAAAGGACAGTTACTCCTCTTTCCATCCTGTTTGCTGTCCCTCTTCCCAAGGCAGTACGTCCTCACAAAAAAAAATTAATCAGCCCTGGGCGGTGTGGCTCAGTGGATAGAGCATCGGCCTTCGGGCTGAAAGGGCCCAGGGTCGATTCCGGTCAAGGGCACATGCCCGGGTTTTGGGCTCGATCCCCAGTGGGGGGTGTGCAGGAGGCAGCTGATCCATGATTCTCTCTCATCATGGATGTTTCTATCTCCTTCTCCCTTTCCTTCTCCCTTCCTCTCTGATTAAAAACATAATTTTTAAGAAAAGATGAGTCAGCTCCTGGAATACCTGGCAGTAATCATTGTGGGCATTCTTCATATGTGCCCCGTGAAGATGCTGCTTAGCATTTTGTGGTTTTGTGGCTGATAAGGAAGATGCGTGATTTTGGAATTAGATGCGCTATCTGAGCAGATACCTGCAAATCCTGTCCCTGGACTGATTCTGGAGAGCGGAAGCGTGTGTCATGAACTTCTCTTGTGCCCGAGGCGGGCAGTGGGCACCACAGTAAGTACAGTACGGCGCCCTGAGCTCGGAGCTGTGGCAGAGGCATAAAACAGGCACCGCATTTTGCCATGTGTTTCCTGATAATATTCTAACGCAAACAGTGTGGAAATCGGTCATTTATTCCTCCAGCACAGGCCCGCCTGCCTCCCCTGTGCCTGGCACTGGCGTCAGGCAGAGACTGGCCGGCGGCCCCCCCGGGCCGCATGCTTTGGTCACCTCTTCACTGTGACTGCAGGTCTCAGGCTAGGACCGCTGTGCCCCTTCGTGTACATAAGCCGTGGCCGCTTTCCCACGCCAGGGTGGGGTGGGCGCCGGCGAGACTGCGCGGCACACACAGCCTCCATCGGGTGCTGTCGGCCGGCCGTTCCCTGCCGCGCTGGGAATACAGCCCTGAAAACAGATTGACTGCTCTCTCTGGTCAGCGTGTTCTTGTCCTTTAAGTTTCCCGCCTACAAACCATGTTATTCTTTCCTTGTCCGCATGTCAGTCCGTACTGAAGGACGGTGTGGATGATTGTAAGTAGCCGTCGGTTCTTGTCCCCCGAGTTCGTGGACGGCGTTTCCTTCGCCGCTTCTCCCCGAAATGGAACACGGCTCACCCCACGTGGGCTTCAGCGTGGGGCCTGGGGACGGGACAGGACCAGGGTGGGGAAGGCTCGCTCTGCTTCCCGGGGCCCTGGTCCCACAGTGGGCCAGAGGGACGGACACGGCCAAGAGCAGTCAGCCCAAGATCCCATCTCACGAATAAGATGG